CACATGCATATTACATGCCGTAGCCTTGGGCTCTCCAAAGGGTGTGGGGATACTATACACTTCTATACACATTCCCATCTACCAAACTTAACATCCCCATCAGTCCAGGAACTCTTTTGGCCACTTGCAGAAGCATCGAAGTTACCAGTGGATCCCCCGTCAGTCCAGGGACGCTTTCGGCCACGGGCAAAACCTAACCCAAAATGAGCACTGGGCTGCGACACGGATGAGCCTGCAGCCTGAGCGCCATCAGTGGATTCAGGAACTAAACCGAAAGGGGAAGGGGTTGGCTGCACAGGGAAGTCAGTGGTCTGAGCGCACTCACTCCACCCCATGGGCAACACATGTGCACGCAGGACACGACTGCCGGCTGGGAAAACAGAAAGGGTCTCAGAAAAGTGTCGGCAACCTGAGTCGGGACCGTGACAGTATGCACTGAAGCAAACTCACTGAGCAGCGGAGGCACGCGCTTGCGAGATTGCACGCCCGTAAAGGCACGGGAGGCCTGCACCTGATTGAAAGAACCAGAGAGGTCTGAGGCTGGCGCAGAAAACCCCAGGGAGAGGAAGTGATCTTTAAGGAAACTGGCCATAGACTTGCAGAGGCCCCAAGGATAGGCCGACTCCTCAGCGGTGGCCCAGGATCCCTGGCACGACTGGCAGTCCCACACGGAGGCGCAAAATGAATGAATTGAACAGCCGGATCCTTGACGATGCTCCACAAATGGGAAACCGCGTCTTCTTGCGTAAGATCAAGCTGAAGCACGGAGCACGATGCAGTTTTCAGAACAATGTGGTCAACGCCAAATGCGTCAAACACTTCCCGCTTGAGGGAAGCAGTCAACCTCCCACTCCCACAGAAAACTTCAACTGCCACAACCTCGCTTAAAGGGCGGCCTAGGCTGCTGGAAGCAACTTTATTCGCCTGTGAGCACCGGTCGCCGGCAGCATAGACCTGACAAGAAGCGGGAGGCGCTGCAACTCAAGCGCCACCGTCGCGAACATGTTGCTGCAAACTATGCGGTTTCAAGCATCCTGGTTCCGCACACAAATGTAACCCTTTCGCGCATTTGCCACCAGGTTTCGCGTCTTTGCACCCACACGGCAAATTAAACCCCCAACACAAGCGGTGCCCTTTCGGTGTTTGGTGGGCTTTGCCAATCAACTCTTTAGGCACAGAGAAGTTGGTACGCTTGGCACCTTTCTTGGGAGGGCGCCGAGGCGGGTCATGAGGACGCTTCGGAGGCCGGTCTGGCTTGTCATCATCCTTGACCTGCCCAGAAGAAGACGAACCTGCTGGCAAGGGGAGAAGGTGATAAGTAACACTCGGATCAAGCAAAATGGTTGGCAGCTGCGCATCCAGAGGCAACACACCTGTTCCACTGCGACGCAGAGACGTGATGTTCTCAGCGATTTTGAGGAACGCAGCTCTGTCCGCACGGAGCACCTGAGCCGTGGACAGACACCTTGGAATACCCCGGCGGAGGGGCTTCTTGCAAGCGCTGAATCAAGGCTTGATGGTAACGGTTCGCCACGTCGTAGCTAAGGATCCCCACTAAGTCGAAAGCCAGGGCCCTACGGCGAAGAGCAGACACCAAATCAAGCTCAGAATGAATGATGCAATTGTGTACTGACGGCTTGTCTTTGATGGCAACTCCGCTGCCGTCAATCACTAGCTCTTTGCCCGCCTTCTTAGCCCCAATTTCGGCCCTTCGAGTACCAAACTTCTCAGGCGCGAGCCACACAAGCTCATTCTTTTGTGCCATGGCAAAGACAAGATCGTAAGCTCCATGAGCCACTTCTTCCTCACCCTGAAAGGTGAGGCCCCCAAGCCGCGCCTTTTGGCTAGCAAGTCGATCATCCCTCTCAGCACTGTCAAGAGAGGCTGGGACAACATCGTCCGTCTTTTCGACTCGCTGCTTCAAAGCTGACACTACCAAAGTGTGTGCTTCGAAGAGCAGACGTTTGAGGCCTGCAACGGCCCCTTGAGTAGCACCTGCAGGCAAGAGGGCAACAACAGCATCCTCCTCCGGCACACGTCCTGGGGGAACTAAGACGAAAGCCAACTTTGACAGAGTATCCACATGCTGGCCGATCAGGTGATCGACCTCGTCCTGGGACAGGCCAACCTCCAGCGCTCGCTTAGTAAAGGCAGCCTTCGACTCCGTGAAGGCTGTGGCCACAGGAACATTTGCCATGGCTGCTAATACTATCAAGGAAAATGTATCGGAAAAGACAATCGCTCAACGCAAATTTATTCACTCTTTCGGCTGCTCACCAAGTTGCCTAACTGCACCAAGCTCGAAACATTCACGCACAACTCTAACTTCAGCATTTGAACATCAGCCAGCAGCGACACCGATGCTGAACATGCCTGGCAGAAGTTGACTTCGACTCTTGCACATCGCACAGAGGAACTTCCCCGAGCAACACATATTGCAAGGAAACATTCCCTTTGTGATCGCACAGCTCCTGCATCAGTGACGGTACAATCACTATAGGCAGAGAATGAGCGCCCCGGTACCTCCCGGTTCCGCACCTCGTGGAATGCTCTTGCGGCTGCCCGATTGAGCTGCGCCGCGTGTTGCACCTCGCAACCGTCATCGCAGGGTCTGCCGGACCTCCCGGTAACCACACTTCGTGGACCGACCCCGGGCCGCACATCCGGCACATCCAAAATTCAGCGCTTGAGATTCTTGCTCAAAATTGCGTTCAAAGCGCCCACGTCTCTAACTGGCTTGCTCTTGCGACAGTTGGAGCACAGCCGAGTTTCCAAGAAAGCACTTTGCGCGACCTTGGAATAATCAGCCGTCTTCTTGCGCCCACAAGTGAACGTCTCACCTGTAGACCCGGCAGCAACGGAATGAATAGTTAAAGTCCGGTCGTGCCGCCAGAAATCAAAATCAGGTCCCTCAATTGGGGCCTTCTGAACAACAGCTCCCAAGCTGCCCTGGAAAGCATCGCTCCAATCAGGCCCGTCCTCACTTCCTGACGTGCTCGATTCACTGGAAGACGATGAAGACGTGTCCGGACCCACCTCACTCGGGACACCTGTAAAGTCATTAAGCGCCTCCTCAAAATCCCCGGGCAGAGACGATAAAAATTCCTCGGCAGCCGCCTCAGGTGTCAGGGCAGCTGCTTGGTAATACTTGCCCTCCGAGTCGGACTCCTCAGTAGGGAGAGCATCGGCCCTCGCGGGCCCTGAATCCCCATCAGTCAAGGGGCTTGACGTGCTGGGCCGAACCAAACTCCAATGGTCTTGGCTCGAGGCTGCGGCCTTCCCTGGCTCAGCGGTTGCTGAATCCTTAGCCTCTGCTCGAAACAAGCCCGACCTCGTGGCATCAGGTAGAAAGAGGCCTTTCCGGATCGAGCCCAACATGCCTTCGTAGGACCTCAAAGGCGCAGCCAGCTTGTCCCGCATGTAAGCATACATAGTTGCCCCTTTCAGGGCATGATGGCCGAGCAAGGTCTGCTCCGACTCTTGCAATCCATATTTCCCGCACCAATCAAGGGTCGTAGACTTAAGCGAATGACCTGTCACCCCATCAGAACACTTGTGTCCTCGACTGAGCAGAGCTCGAAGCCAATTTCCCGCCTCGTCAGAAGTGACAGCTCGCTCTCCCCAGTCGCCTGCGTCGCGAGGTGCTGGAAGTAACGGCCCTCGTCGCTCATCAGTAAATGGCAACCCTGCGGCTTGTGCAACAGCTACGAAGCGAGGCCCCCAAGCATTCTCGGTCACCCCGCAACCAGAGGCATGGATACACCTTGCACTGCTGCTTGCCTGGCTGTTTTGTGGGATCGAGTCCCGCACTCGAGGAAACCTTGGACACTAGATCCTGAAACCACAGTGTCGATAACAAAGGAATGCACGCACTTCACATCACTTACGCGACTGCGGCTGTAAATGCAAAAGAGGAAGGCACCGCACGCGTACCTGTCCTTCACATCCAGCTCCGAGTCATCGAGCAATCC